TCACACAAGTGGGAATTAACTTACTGGGCCCATTTCCGACGTCTTCATCGGGAAAACGGTGGATAATAGTTGCTACCGACTATTTAACCCAATATACCGAGACAGCGACTCTTGTTAAAGGATCAGGCGTTGAAGTAGCTGAATTCTATGGAAAGGAAAATGATAGGTGTAACGTCAAGTGGCAAGATTAGAGCAGAGTAAGTCTGGGAACAAACCGCGCTTTAGGATAATATAGTTGAAATGAAGAAGAATAAATTGACATGAACCGTGCACGTAGCGCGTAGACAGGATAACCACTGGTCATTAAGGGTAACTGACTGCATTCCCAGAGAAGACAACCGGGTGAGGGGGAGACAGTGTTAGGTGGGTCGATGAGATTAAAAGGTTTGCGGGTATAAAGTGGTAGCAGCAAGCACAGGACCAAGTTGACTGGTGGAACATGGAAGAGGCCTTTGTCCTGCACTAGACGTAGTCAGGCTTATGTTGATGATAGCGATGATGATGACCATCCCGTGCATGAGCTTCGTATGTGGTGACGTGTTAGCGAGCAGCGTCCTGCTGGTGAGTCACTTCAGCAAAGATATGATCATATCGGTTCTCCCTCAGTGAGTGTACAGCAGCCAGTTGGATCACGATGACCTCAACTTCGGAAACTTGAGAGGCAGAGTTATCAGCTTGAGTCGTTAACGCGCGAAGGCTTTCTGCTCGCACCTGTCGTGTCCCTTGTTGTGTCGAACTCCGTTGTGTGACATTAGTCGGTGCTTTAACACTCGTATCAGTAGACGGTGGATAAACAGCGATGGTGCATATGCAAGCTAAACAAGCGAGCACAGCGTAACAGACAAAGCACGTAACTGCATCGTGACCGAGTCTCGCTCGTGACTTGCGAGATTAGCTCCTGAAACGTTGGCGGAGCTATGTGTGGAAGCTACTCCAGTCAGGCTATGTTGTGCAGCGCCGGGCCAATAACACCTAGGCGGCATCGGTAGGGCCCACTGATTAGAAAGTTTTCATGTTCGTGCCACCTGAGGTGGCGCGCACGTGAACGTTCCCTAACACTGATTAGTACCGTGATGCCAGCATTGATTCGAATGCTAACCTCGCGACGCCGTACTATAGGGCATGTCGTAGTGCTGAGTGAGCTGAGGCTACCTAAGGGTCCTCTGCTGGTCTTCGTTAGCGTCATAACGCAGTACCTCTCTCCTTCACTCGTAGACGGCTGCACCACCCCGACAACCCTAAAATCCGTATATTTTGGAAAATAGTGACAATTCTTGATCTGCGCCGTCTCACACTCACCACCCCGTCGACCTCCTCTTTCTTCACCCTCTCTTTCGTAGAGCCAGCGCGTCCGCTGCGCTGAATGGCTGATACGCGCACTGCCAGCTAATCGGTTGACCATGACGTCACATGAATTACGCGTAAACAAACTTCGCGCGCTGTTCATTCACCGCGCACGCCATTAACCCTCCAGGCTTCCCGCTCCAAACGTGCTTCCAAGTTGAATTCCGAGCTTCGTTCTTCGTGGCGATGCCTGGCTGTGGTGGATTTCATTGTATAAGCAGGTCAGAGGAAGAGCAGCAGGTCAGAGAAAAGAGTAAAATTATGTTATATGTCCCGAGGCGACGAAAATACCGTGCGCAGAAAGCAGTGGACTCGAAAAATTGCGAGAAAGAACTTCGCCCTTTCCAAGCACGTTGCTCTTTGCGAGGTAATAGCAAACAATTTTCTTATGTATACTCTGATATGTGGATAGAGTTGTATGGAGATAATAACGCTCAGTGCATAGCCAGACTGTCCGTTGATTTAAATAACGAGCACATATAAACGTGGATATATCTTTCGCCGAGTCAGTCGCTGTGCTATGCTGCTTTCTCTGTGCCACGACTAAGATTTGTTGTGTTTTCCCACGTGCATTAATTTGCGAAGTATGACCTTTATAAGCTTACGTGTTTAATTCATAACTTGTAGCTGTGAACGCATGTGTGTGTGATCGTCTATGTGTGTTTGCATATGCACCTGCGTGTGAGTCAGATTGTGTACGTGTGCACTTATGTGTTTGTGTGCGCACGTAAGCGCCTGCTTTTGCTTGCGATTGTATATGTCTGTATTTGTGCCGATGTGTGTGCAAGCCTATGTGTGTGTTTATGTCAGTACGCCCGTTTGGTATGTCTCTATTCGCGCCTGTGTGTGTGCGCACGCACGTATGTCAGCATATGTGAATGCCTGCGTGTGCGTTCGTTTGTGCATGTCTGTACTTGCGCGTGAGTATGTGTTCGAGCATCTGCGTGCGCTTGTATTCATGCACAAGTTAGCAAGTGAGTTTGCGCACATATTTGTGTGTGTATGTATGTGCCAGATGGGGGTGCGCTTGTGCATGGCTAAACTGTAATTATGAGGTATCGTGATCCTATGAGCTTTTGTGTAAGCAGACAGCTTTTTTTCTTCGTTTTAGGAGACTGAGGTAATACCCCTGTCACACGGGAACCTACGAACACCATTTAACTTCCTCATCTCTACAAAAACGGAGATGTGGCCCGCGTCCCAATGTCTCCCTTGCGTCAAAAGAAACTAAACAAAGCTTTTCGCAAAAGCAAGTTCGGTGATCCTCCTTAGCGGCGGAATGGAGTACTCTCGTCCGTAGTTACGGAAAAAACTGTAAGAATAAACAGCTGTAGTCAACATAGTTATAAACTTTACGATGACTGCCAGTTGGGCATGTTGGTATAATGTAACTCAGTTGGTATAACGTAACGTAACTGAGTACTTTTTTCTTTTTCGTTTTCCTTTCTTAGTTTTTTTCTGGAGGGGGGGTGACAAGGGGTTTTTTTTTTCGGTTGTGTGCCGTCGATCACAGAAGTGGTTTTTTTCGTTATGTCACGTTGTTCGTGAGAACAGGGCTGGTTTAGGATGACGTACATGCATGTTACGTTTATATAGGTGTTTGTTTCGAAATAAAAAATTTAAGTTGCTAATAGGCGCTTGTCCTGTGTCCTTTCTGATTGTTTGTACTTTTCGGCACTTGTGTCATCATAAACTTTATCACCATTAAATGTTCTTTCGCTACATAACGCGCGTTTAACGAAAAGGAAATACGAGTACAAGTGTACATGCTCTCCACACCTTGCCTCGCCAAAAGCCACCATGTCACTATTTTGAAAAAGTTTCTCCGAGACCGTGCCAGCCATTCTATTCGTGTGCATCATGATGTTTACATCTCTGCAACTCGTTCGCTTTTTATTGCCGTGTCACTTATTCTGCTTGAACACTGCCGAATTTCATGGCAGTGGTTGACACAGGTTTTCTTCCTTCTTCGTCGACGTCGGTAGTCGTGTCAGCGCTATTTGCAAACTGTTGCGTCACCCATCCGCAGAAGGGCTTCGTGTACTAAAAGTGAGACCTGTGCCCATTCGATGTTGTAATGAACATTGTGATCTACGTGGTAGTGCAACTTCAAAGAGCTCAGCGAAAACTTAGTTTGTTTGAAAATTGTTGTACGTAGACAAAATGCGTAACAAAATAAACGTACAGTGTTGCCAGCGTTTCTTACAACATTACTGCCAACTTGCTTGCAGGTGTACGCGTCTGCAAATAAAGGCAAAACATTTTTTCTTGCTTCAGTGTAAATAAATTCTACTTTACACAATCACACGTAGGATTGAAAATGTTTCCTGGAGTATTAGACGCTAAACCTTCCATTCAGAGAAGGTGCTGAAGCGCCTAATAGGTCCCTTGCGGCTTCTGTATAAAGCTTGCAAACTGCCGTGTCACAAAGGCGTGACTCCATTTCCATCAAACTTCCTCGGGGAGCTTTACGTTAATGGAATTGATCACAGTTCAGTGGTGGCCGTGTGACAGATGTATAAGTTACAGATGTTATAGAATACAATATCTCGCCCTTTTCTTGGGACAGAATACAGGCAAGTGCATTAATTCCACTCTGGCGTTTCGGTAACACGACAAGAATTTTCCTTTAGCAGAGTGTGACGTTGGGCGTGTTGGTGCATAGCTTAATAAAATGATGGTGGCGCAACAGATCCCAGCAAGGAATAAAGGAGACGGCATATAGCACCAGTCCTGTCTCCTTATTTTGCTATAGTATCTGTTGCGCCACCATCAATTTATTAAGGAATTTTTAGTGTGTGTGTAAGTAAAAAAGGACGTCGGGTCCACCTATTTCAGTGAATTCATTTGATAACCCACCACATCATATTTAGGCTGCCTTCTTCGAGCTAATCAGGACCACAATAAATGAAAAAAAAAACGAGTCTGTGTAAACCTTATGCGCTTACATTTTAGCTATTAACATTCCTCCGCATTACGGGCAGCTGAGGCGGGTGAACCTACATGCGCCGATGGCGTAGTTAGGCGTCCGGTAGCTGCCGCCGTGGACGCAGGGCCGTGGCTCCAACTCGCGGGTGTCAGAAAGTTGCGTAACCTGTTCTTCTGGTTTATTTTTTCTATTCGGGCAATTTTTAATCAAGAATATAATATTCTTCACGAAAGTACGTTAGTGTAGTCCTGGTGGACTTCGGCATAAAACAATTGCGCGTTAAAAATGTACTGAAGTAAAAATTATAGCAAGAGTGAGTGTTATTTTGTCTTTGACGTCTCGAAGAAAACTGAACGTGGTAGAAACGAGAATTCTTCGCAAGTAGGAGATGGGAGAAAGATCACCATTACGAATGGCAACCTTCCAACGGTGCATACAGTCCTCTAGTTATGGGCATTTCTGTGTGCCTGTAGTTGAAGTGCAAGATGTTTTTGGAACGCAGTGTACTAGGCGTTGTGTGTGCTGCTAAACTATGGTTTCTAAGTCTCGGTGAGGTTTCGTCATGCTTCAAAGTTGTACAAAGTATTCAATCTGTAATTTTTTTGAACACCAAGAACCCCTTTTTAAGTCAGCAGGGGCCATTGTGCGCGGATATACGCGGAAGGGTGCAAGGCTTCGTTCTTATGCTCTTTCTCGAGTCATAATCGAGCGTTCTTATGTGTTGCAGCCAAGCCGTGGATCTCCAGTGTGTTCGGCACAGTGCTGGTAGTCTTGTGCCCAGCATGGGTGTACATCGCGCGCGGCCACCCGACCTCGAGGAAGGTACTGGCTGTCGGCTGGTGGCCCATCATCGTCGCCATGATTATATCCAGGTAGAACCTTCTCTTTTCCTGTGACACTTCATGTGTCATTGCATGAGGAAGGCATGCTCGACGCATCGCTGACTCAAACGCGAGAAAACAGGAAATCTCGCATTACACGATAACTGATTGTGTCCACCTCCAATGCGTGTTCCACGTGAGTAGGCGTGCCTATTTCTATTCTAGAGGGGGATTTGCGACATCGTGTGATGCTTTAGCCAATCAAATATAATTGCACGCTCGCAACTTCTTTGACAGAGGGTTTATTGTGTTACTGGTTGTTGCTTAGTAACACGGAGCAACGTTCTGCGGGAGATTGGCCATGAAACGGGTCGTATAGCTTCCTTTAAAATTGAAATTGTTTCATATTTGAGGATGTTTCAAAGAAGGGAGTTTATGACATAAAAATATTGGTATAATCAAGAAAACATATTAATACCAAACCAATTGGATTGAAAAGGAAGTTGAAGTTAGGTCACTTCAACTTTCGATTCATTATCTGTCACGCAGTAAATCACTTGTGGCATCGCAAAAGTTCATGTGGCTGAAACCCAGAACTGTAACACAAAAGGAAACAACCACCGAGAGCGACAAAATTAAGTCTGTTCCTCGAAAAGGTTCTTCTAGAAGCCTTTCTTTTTTTATTTCTTTAATGATTTGTATGTCGCAAAAGAATTATGCAGAAGTCTACTACTCTCTTGTAATGAAGGCATACAGGTGACTTCACCAGACCGGGTCTGGGAAGGTAAGCGGTCAGAGGGGAGGGGAGGACTCGGCAATGCAGTTTGGCGATTGACACTTCTGCACTTCTGGAGGTGCACGATCAAGTTTGCAAGGATAATTAAGCTGAACAATTCAGATGCTGATAGAGGAGATTTAGCCAAGTCGCATCCGAAGTGGCAAACTTTTGTAATAGCACCGCAGAGACAAACACCAACGTCGACAATATAGGCGTGCGCAAGGTTACCCTTCAAGAAGGAAGGGGGGCGTGAATGTTCGTCGCAGCACCCCCCTCCTTCTAATTTATTTATTTATTTTATTTTATTTATCAATACTGCAACCCCCAAATGGGGTTTTAATACTGCAGCCCTTAAATACTGCAACCCCGATATAGCGGGTATAAATTTCCTAAGTTTACAAATTGGCAAACACGATGAAAATAAAATGAAAAGTACGAACAGACTTTCACAAGGTGAAAAAACAGGACAAAAAGACAACAATTTGTAATAAACAGGCATAGGAACATATAATGAAATCAAATAAGCACTGCATTCAAGATGACCACAAGCGTAGAATAACCACTACAGAGATTAAAATGAAGAGCTTCACTGCATATATTCAGCGCGCACACTTTTTGCTCCAGCTGCGTAGTAAAAAGATTCAAATATGAATGCGAAACAACATCGTTATTAAGATTATTCCATTCGGTCACTCTACTGTGTAAAAAAATTACAGCATATTGTCACGAGGTCGTGACGTGGCCCAAGACAGGAGACTTTGTGTTGGGATTTAACTGTTTATTTGGGCGAACCTGTGCCCGGTAAAAGGAAAGTCTGATTACAGTAGCAGTCTTGCACAGATAGCAGTGAACGGAGCGTCGGCCGTCCATCAACTACTGACAAGCGGCGAAGTGCGTCGGCATTTATACTCTTGCCATCGATAGTTCTAGCGCTATCACTGGCGGTGACGTAGATTCCAGAATAATCTGTACAGTTCGCAGAGTGGGCGTGATCTTATCGAAATGATGTACTACACTCCTGAAGCTTCTCGAAAACTGCAGGCACGGTTTGCCATGAGAATTGTGTAGTGTATTGAGGCGATAACAAAACTTTAGATATGGAACGTGGCATTGCCCCCCTCTGAAAAAGGCATCGTCCTGATGCTTTAAATAAAGATGAAGGTAGAACAATAATGCAAGAAAGTACAAGAAATATATTACGATACAGCAATAATATAAAACCACTGTTTCAGTTTGTAACGCGCATGAAATGGCTTGAAGTGCGCGGCATGGACGACTTCCGGTCGCGATCGGCGTCTTTGAGGGTTCGTGATGCCGTCGGGCACCACCTCGTAATTAAGTGGGCCGAGACGTCGAACCACTCTGTAGGGTCCAAAGTATCGTCGCAGAAGCTTTTCACTTAGTCCACATTGGCGTATTGGCGTCCACATTCGAACACGTTTACCGGGCTGGTATTACACGAAGCGTCGTCAAAGATTGTAACGGTGGCATCGGTCGTCTGTTGATTCTTGATACGGAGACGCGCGAGTTGTCGGGCTTCTTCGGCGCGTTGAAGGTACTCACTCACATCGAGGTTTTCTTCGTCGGTGACGTTGGGTAACATGGCATCGAGCGTCGTTGCCGGGCTCCTTCCGCAGACCAATTCGTATGGAGATATCTGCGTCGTCTCCTGCACCGCCGTGTTGTATGCGAAGGTCACGTACGGAAGAATGGCAGTCAACGTCCTGTTTTCGACATCGACGTACATTACCAGCATGTCGGTGATCGTCTTGTTTAGCCGCTCGGTGAGGCCATTGGTCTGTGGGTGGTACGCTGTCGTCCGGCGGTGGTTTGTGTGGCTGTATGCTAAGATCGCTTGAGTTAGGCCAGCAGTAAATGCCGTTCCTCTGTCGGTGATGAGGACCTCCGGGGTGCCGTGACGTAGGACAATATTTTCGACCAAGAAATTAGCTACCTTGAATGCACTGCTTTTGGGCAGGGCTTTCGTCTCGGCGTAGCGGGTGAGGTAGTCTGTAGCTACCATGATCCACTTGTTTCCGAAAGCCGACGTTGGGAACGGCCCTAGTAGGTCCATATCAATCTGCTGGAATGGTCGGCGAGACGGTTCAATTGGCTGCAGAAGTCCCGCTGGCCTTGTCACCGGTGTCTTGCGTCGCTGACAGTCCCGGCATGTTCTCACATAACGAGTGAGGTCAGTGGTAAGACGTGGCAAGTAGTGCCTTTGTGTCCTCGCGAACGTGCGAGAAACAGCGAGGTGCCCTGCCGTCGGACCATCGTGCAGGGTCTGCAGGAGTTCTGGTTGCAGAGCTGAAGGCACCACAAGGAGGTACTTGGCTCGAAGCGGTGAAAAGTTTTTCTTTTGGAGAAGACCGTTTCGCAGGAAGAACGACGCAAGTGCGCGCTTGAATACCTTCGGGACATCGGCAGTCCTGCCTTCGAGGTATTCTATTAGGGCCTTATGTTCCAGGTCGGCCCGCTGTCGTTCAGCAAAGTCGTCGGTAGTTATCGTTCCCAAGAAGTAGTCGTCATCCGGGTCAAGAAGTAGTCGTCATCCGGGTTGGTCGACAGGCGCACGAGAGAGACAGTGGGTATCGGAGTGTTTCTTGCCGGACTTGTAAACGACGGTAATGTCATATTCTTGAAGTCTCAGGCTCCATCGTGCGAGGCGACCTGAAGGTTCCTTCAAGGTGGCTTGCCAACAAAAGGCGTGGTGTCGCTCACAACTTTGAAGGGCCTGCCGTAGAGGTAAGGGCGAAATTTCGACGTAGCCCAGATGATGGCGAGGCACTCGTTGTTGTGGAATGTGTGGCTTCTGCTTTGGATAGCGATCGGCTGGCGTAACTAATCACCCTTTCAAGTCCATCCTCCCTCTGCACAAGAACGGCGCCAAGACCTAAGCTGCTTGCGTCAGTGTGTATTTCTTACTCGGCAAATTCGTCGAAATGGGCAAGTAAGGGAGGCGTCTGGAGGCGGTGTTTAGGCTCCTGGAAAGCGATTTCCTACGGCGTTTCCCAATTGAACTCCACGTCGGCCTTGATAAGGTTAGTGAGTGGATCGGCGATGCGGGCGAAGTTTTTCACGAACCGCATATAATGGGCGCATAGGCCCAGAATTGGCACACCACCTTCTTGTCAGTGGGTGGCGGGAAGTCAGCGATGGCGGCTGTTTTCCGTGGATTGGGATGAACTCCAGACTTGCTAATCACGTGCCCCAAAAACAAGAGCTCCTCGTATGCAAATATGCACTTTTCTGGCTTCAGTGTGAGTCCGGACGTCTTGATGGCTTGAAAGTCAGCTTCAAAGCATCGATGATGCTTGTCAAAACTCAAGGAAAACACGACAACGTCGTCCGTAGTACACAAGGCAAGTCTTTCACTTCAATCCTGCCAGTACTGTATCCTAATGCGTTCAGAAGCTGTAGGTGCTGAGCAAAGACAGAAGGGCATCACCTTAAACTCGAGGAGGCCATCCGGTGTTATAAACGCCATCTTCTCTCGGTCTCTTTCGTCGAATTCAATTTGCCAATAGCCAGTCTTGAGGTCTATTGACGAAAAGTACTTGGCGTTATGAAGCCGATCAAGTGCGTCGTCTATTCGTGGGAGAGGATACACATCCTGTCTTGTGATTTTATTCAGGCGGCGATAATCGACGCAGAAACGTAGGGTCCCATTCTTTTTTTTTTCACTAACACCACGGGGGACGCCCATGGACTCTTGAACGGCTGGATGATGTCATCCCTCAGCATTCCATCCATTTGTCTCTTCATGGCCTCGCGTTCTCGCGTCGAAACCCTGTACGGACTCTGATGGGGTGATCTGGCGTTTTCTTTGGTTATGATGCAGTGTTTCGTGATTGTGGTCTGCCGAATTTTTGATGGCGACGAAAAGCAATCTTCGTATTGCATGAGCAGGGCCTTGAGCTGTTGTTGTTTATGATTTGGAAGTCTGGGATTGACGTCAAAAGCTGTGGGAGGGGCTTGGTTCCTCTGCGCAGTTCCGAAGAATTAGCAAGGGCGAAAGCACTGGTGGTATCCAAAATTTCTTCGATGTATCCGACCATTGTTCCTTTGTTCACATGTTTTTACTCATTGCTGAAATTCGTGAGCATAAACGTTGCTTTGCCTCCCCGCAGCTCTGCGATTTCTCTTGTGACGCAAATATTTCGGGTGACCAACAGATGCTGACTGCCTCCAACGACGCCTATCAAGTCAGGTGATTCAAGAGTGCCGACTGAAATAATGACGGTGGAGCGAGGCGGAATGATGACTTGTTCTT